ATTAAGTGAATCTTTAAAAAGGGGAACATCGCCGCGTGGACTCCAAATGAATACATTTGCGGAGGCGTCGCAATGTCCTCGCAGAACGGTCGGGTTATTGCTTTCTACTCGAAACTTTCCGCCAAGTTTGCTTGGCTATGGTAATTTTGCTGTGGTCTGTTTCAACTGCAGGATCGCGTTTCTTTTGGTCGAATTAAATTTTAGTGCAAAAAATGTCACGTTGTAATGCATAATAATAAATTCTGTACTATTCTGTACTATTTAACTAAATAAAAATTAAAATATTTAATACTAAAAAAATAGTAGAAAAATTAAAATTTAAACATTTAAACATAAAATAATTTGACATCACGTGATGCTTACTAATGCAATAAAATGTAAATTTCAACTGTGACGTTGTCCTGTACTCAACTAACTGTATGACGTATTCAGTGATGAAACGAATAATCTTACAGAGAGAAATATGCAAATTACAGCATTTCCAGCTAAGTGCAAGGCTGTGTAATGAATTTGAATTGCGTTTAACGTATAATTTCTGGCAACATTTATCACGAAATCTAATATCGTCTCTTGCTTGTGAATGGAACGGCATAAATTCTTCATGTCAGATTATCCTTATATAAATTTACTTTACTTTTATTATTGCGTTGTTTTTATAATTTTTTAGATGTTATATTCTGATGCTTAAAATTTTTCTACAATGATCTAATAATTCTTAATAAAAATAATTTTTAATATATTAAAAGGATACGTAGTGATCGATTTATTATCTTTAACTGCTTGTAGCTTTTAAATGTAAACATATCATGTGTGTTACGTGACTGTCGGACTTATATAACACATTGACTACTAGCCCGGTTAATGGCGCGTAAACGAAATGTCAGATAAAAGAGCGTCCTGTTTCCTAAATTACAACTAATTTGGTGGAAGGATATATGAGAACTAAAAAATTCTTGCAGGAAAGAATAATATAAGAATAATATAAGAATAATAATATAAGAATAAGAGTAAGATAAAGTGATATAATATAAATGTTCTGTAATGTGTAAAATTTACTTGCTCTTATGAAGAAGCGTTCAAACATCATTGTAAAGTTCTCGTTAATTATTACAATTCTAAAGTATTGATGAATTTTTAAAGAGTTGTTATATTTTGCATCATATGTTAATCACTTTAATGTAATTTTTAAAAACTTAAAATAATTATAATAATTTTGAAAAAAAATTTTTTATTAAGATTAAAATACGAGATGTTACGAAATAAAACATAATTTTAACTTAATTTTATTTAATAACTTCTCTTTATTTTAAATTATAAAATCTTAAAATTTGAATAATCGTTCTTTTTTGACATGTTTGTTTCTTGAAGTGTTGAGCTGCATTTCAATTTCCCAAGGATTCTGTTAGTTGTCCTCAATAGACAAATTCAAGGATCTATGATTAATTACTTTCCAAGATGCATTATGTATACTAGCAGCGTCAAGGGTGTCCTTCCTTTGTGAAATTACCTTTGAGTGATACTTTAAGTATCCCTTAAGGGCTGCGATACTTATCAAACGGTTCATTACCTCTCTTACTCGGTAAAGAACATTACGGAAAAGTATTTTATCTTTAAATATCTTTTTATTTGTTGAAATTGTAGAATTTAAAAATGACAAATATTAATTGAGCAAATTATTTTTATTTTTTAATTATACTATTGTTATCAGAGGCTAAATAATGATATTCGATAGAATAAGATATAAAAGAAATATATTTTTAACTTACAAAAGTATTTATATAATAATTATGAGATAAAATTTTGATTGACATTAAAAATTTAGATTTATTTAAATTATTACCAATTGATATCATTTGACAGCTCATGTCATTTGATATAATATTTTTTACTTTTTAAAAACTCTTACTCTTTTTTCCAATTGATATTAATTAATTACAATATTAATTATAGTTAAGTATATTTTATATATTTATTTTTTGTATGACAATATTCTCTTCATTAATTATGTTGTTTATTTTAAAACGCTAAAAACAAGCAAAGTGCAAGTCTAATTATCTGTATAAATTACTTGCTATGTAATTATCTGTAGGTTATCTTTTTTTAGTACATTTAATTTTAATACCAATAAATTTGTTTCCTTTACACAAGAACCGACCAAAGAACCTTTTTTGTTCGGCATACGTATGTCATGGCTAACATCTATCTCTTTCACGTTGTTTAATTTGCATTTGCGTTTTGGAAATCCGCCAAGGATATTGATCGTCACGCAAATTTCTTATTGCATTTCTTATGCGATTCTAATGCGTTGATAGTAGACGAAGAAGAAAAACGATTGGTAAAGAAACGGATGGTTATGACTGTTCTGCTGCATCGGCTGCTTTATATTCTTGTCGGTAATCCCGGTCACGAGCTCCTCCTTTTTTTTGTACCGCACCTTTCAGGGATATGCGTACCTTGCAAAGTTCAGATAAATGCGTCGATTCGATACACCAGATAGAAAGAGATGCATCAAAACAAAACGTTTCCAAGAGAAAGGAGTAACATGACGGAAGAGTTTCTACCGCGATGCAACTTGGCTAGCATTTTTCTTCCTCTGCAATATCAATCGATTTCCTTCGTGCCAATTTCCGCGCTTATCGAAGACTCTGTAACATCTTTATTAACTTCTTTACAGTGTCTTACATCTTCCTCCACCTGCGTTAAAACGTACCAATATAATACGGAACAAAATCTAAGTACTTTTTATTAGTACTAAATGCGTCTAATAATTTTCCGCAATTTGCTTTACTTTTCTTACTTCGTATTAATTTTTATTTTAGTTTCTATTTTCGTTTTAATTTCTCTTCTCTCTATTATTATGTCTCTCATCATTATTGGCATTTGAAATTGCTTCTGCAGGAGTTGGAAATGTAACGGGAATTTAGATATTAATATCTACATTCTCTTTGAACGTCTCTTTGGCCTACCTGTCATATCCGTTTATACTTAGTACCAATGGGAAATCATACACGTAGTTACGTCACGGAATGATTTAGCGGAGACGTATATTTTTAGGACAGAGAGAGAGAGAAAGAGAGAGAGAGAGAGAGAGAGAGAGAGAGAGAGAGAGAGTGAC